AATTTTGTTTTAAATGACTACTATGATTCTAATAGTGAAGTACATTAATATTTTTTAAGAAGAATCGAGTTATTTGAAAAATTATCTGATTCTGTCACAATGAGATTACAAATGTTAAAAATGAAAGTGCTACACAAGACGACACGGTAATATACTCACGTGAATTACGTGATAACGATGCGATTTTCAGTAGTAAATTGAAATTTACATTGTCATGGCGTCGTCAAAGTATATTCGAATTAGTTGAGAGGTCTGATTTCCCACTTCAAAAGTCCACAACAAATCGAAAATATGAACTTCGTAAAGTTTTCAGAATTGACGAATCACATGTCTGTAAATAGTATACAGATTAAATCAGAATAACATACAGCAGAATTTATATTCGATAATTTAATTTTGATAAACAAAATTGTGTTGTGGTTGAACAAATGTCGTATAAATAGTATCAAAATAGCCATTAAAGTATTACGCAGCTGGTATGCAATACACATAACAACATGTCCTCCTACCATAATTTCCAGGGGCACAATGCTACCCATGACTGTCGTTAGCGAAACTGATCTTATCGTCGGGGGTGGGGGGTAGAGAGGCAGCGAATGCTTCTCGGTCAAGGACAAATTTCAAGCAGATTGAAATCTGATACGCTGACAACAGTTTCGTTCGTCGAACTTATAAAAGTCAAGTGATTATAACGAACTTCCAATGTCTTGCTTCTTACTGGATTAAATATTCCGTAGAAGGGTCTGAACCGTTTAATGAGTATATTTCTTAGTAAAGTCGAGTATTTTAGAAAATATTATCACAGTCAAAGATCGTATATTTGAAACGTAAAAATGTACCACAGGAATAATAACGTATATTTGTTCGATTTCCAAAGATAGTAAATACATGGAAAAATAAAAAGTGGCTGTTAGTCTCCAGTAATCCAGAGTATCTGAAGTAAAATTAATCAGCCCTACTTACATAAAAAGGAAAGATATTTTATAATTCCGAACATAGAGAGATCAAGAATATTTTTCACACTATTTTATCAAATATCAGATGCATTTTTATTGAACCTACTTATCACAAATCTATAGGCTTTTACACAACCATCCTATCATACATCCAAAAAGTATTTACATAACCAACCTATCACAAATCTAGAGAGACTTTCAAACATGCTATTTACATAAGAAACTAAGGATTAAATCAGAAAACGAAAACGAATGGGGATTTGAACCACCAGATTGTTTCCATTAACACCATAATGATTTCTGAAACATAACACACTGTAGAAAAAAATAGTAAAATAATTATAAACAATAATATCTATTTTCCTTGCTTATACATTCTAAATTTCGATTATACCTGGCGATTTTTTTACTCTATTTACATAGAATGAACTGTTTTTTAATTGGTTTGCCAATTTTCCTTCAATTTTGACGGTTCGTTTGAAAAATATAGTAGTGACAGTTTGAAATCGCGAAACGTTAGTGAGCAGTTTCAGTTTCCTCCCTTATATTTTCTAAATTTCGATTTTCTTTGGCGACTTTTCTTTATACGATTTGCACTTCCGCCACTTTATTTCGCATATGGCACATCAAAATCGAAGAAAAGTTGGAAAAACTATTAGAAAACTGCCTTCTTCAAGCTATGTCAACTAAATATCGCAATTGACGATTGAAATCTAAAATTTAGAATTGATATTAGGTAATTACACAGTATCTTTATATGATAAACATTCCCTCCACTTTATTTCGCATATAGCACGTCAAAATGATAGAAAAATTGGCAAAATTATTAAAAAACTGTATTTTTAAAGCTATGATGACTAAATACCACAATTGACAATCGAAATCTAGAATCTGTAATCGATATTATGTAACTACGCAATATCATTATACCATATGGACACCTGTCACTTTATTTCGCACATGCACGTTAAAACCGAAGAAAAACTAAAAAAACTATTACAAAACTGCCTTTCTCAAGCTATGTCAACTAAATATCGCTATTGGCAATCAAAATATAGAATCTACAATTCATATTTCAACTAATGTAATTTTCGCATACTGATTGATATATTTCCTTTTATTTTTGGTAGAATTCCATACCGTGTATCTAACACATTATATTATTAAATAGATTATTTATTATTCACTAATCTAATATTTTCAAAAATATATTTTATTTTATGACAAGACTGTTTCGTGCTGAATCGGTAACATTCGAAGTAAAAGCAAAATGCTTAGCAAATTCAGGGCCTCCTAACTGTAAAGTAAGAATATATTGAATAATCGATTTATTTTCATCTATGATTTAATTCTTACCTGCTACTTTTCATCTTTTGTCATTTGTTAATACAGAATTAGCTTTAATATAGAAATTGTAAACATATATAAATTATGTAGTAATATCACTTAGATTATTTCTTCTATAATTATTAATTTGTAATAAATTGTTTAAATTTTATAACTTATTTAAGTATTTTTTATATGAAATTGATGCTGGATTAAAATGATACAAATTAGTAATGAAACATCAATATTAATTTTTTTCTCTAATTGCCCATGCTAGTGAGAAATGAATTCTACATTTGGTATCCCTGCGAAAAAGGCATGCTGTCTCGAAACGGCAATAAAATGAAATAAAGTTGAGCTACAAAAAAATTTTGTTTAACCGTGCAGCGTTTAGGTAGTACAAAATATCCAAATTAATAAATTAATTAAATATTTGATGACGCTGACACTATGTTTAATATTATTTTTGTAGACTAAACTGCAAAACAAGTTTTATATTAATGTTGACTTTTGACTGTGAGAAATACATTTCTGGTACAATTGTTCTAGTGGTTCGTTGAACAAGGTAGGGAGGGTCTTTTCAATTTATTATATATTTATATATTTCATTATAATCTAATAATTATTGATTTATATTTCTGCAAACATCTAGTATTACAATGCGACTAATGTCGCAGCAGAAAATAATTTGCATATATAAGCTCTATAACTATTTAACTTAGTCTTTCTATTTTCATATTAAGAACATAATCCAGGATCAGAACGTCTTAAAAAATATATTAATAACTCTTAGGTATTTATTTGCAACATCACATGTACAAAGTGGTTAAAGCTAAAGTAAAGAACATTGAAAATTACGATATACTCCGATTAATTGTCGTACCTAACCTCAAAGTCGATCTTTTAAGACTGGAAGGAAATGTCAGTTTAGTCAGTATAAACCAGTTATATTACGGATCCTTTAAATCTTCTTAATCGTTTATATTACTTACGTTGTTGCTGCGTGGTGAGTAATTTATTTGTCTTTATATAATACTTGAATATGTGTACAAATTACTTTCATACACCTTTTTTTTTGTACTAAGTATTATAATTGTTCTGTCAATTCCTAATTTTTGTGATTCTCCTAGTGAAACAGAATTTGGAGTATCCTTATAAAAATATATATATTTATCTATTAACAATAAAACTAAAAAACTGAAAACTATATTATAAGTTTTACTAATATTTCTTTTTGAGTATTATACTTATAATTTAATTTTCTTGCCTATCATGTGAAAGGTATTGATTCATTAATTATAATTATTTATATAAATATGAAGTTACATTTTTTAGTTAAAAGAGGGATGCCACGCAGCAAGCGTAGAGCGCCCTCTAGCACAAATCATCATACGTCTATTGAAATGTCACCTAGTGCCCATGAAGAGGGTATATCAAGGCATCCATCAAAAAGACTTAGACATACTTCTAGGTAAACTATATTATAACATTTTAAATTTATACTATGTATATATATTATTAACGATATGAAATTAAACATTATACTATCCATTTATACATTTTAATATTCACAGTATTTGATTTATATCAAACATTTCTTATTCTAATTTAAATTGACTATAATTTTTTTATGAATAATACCTTTTTTATACCACCCAACATCTAATATGAAAGATAGAGGTAAAATATAATGGTCCTTTTTATATTAAATACAATAAACATTATGTTCCTTCTTTTTAGTGCTAGACGTTATACAAAAACAGAAGATGTTTCAAGCGCTTCATCTTTTTCTCAAAAACGTTGTATCACATGGTTTAGAGAATATACAACACCAGATGATTCAGATACTCTTGGGCCTGAAGGAATGGAAAAATTTTGCGAGGACATTGGTGTAGAACCTGAAAATGTAGTAATGCTTGTTCTTGCATATAAAATGAATGCCCGACAAATGGGTTTCTTCACATTAAGCGAATGGCTAAAAGGTCTTTCGGATTTACAATGTGATTCTATTAGTAAAATACAACAAAAACTTGAGTACCTAAGGAATCAATTAAATGATCCACATACATTTAAGGGAATTTACAGATATGCTTATGATTTTGCTAGAGTAAGTATTATGTTTAGTGTATTTTTATATTTTTATAAATATATATATCTATAAATGTTACTAATATTTTAGGACAAAGATCAAAGAAGTATGGATATGGAAACAGCAAGTGATATGTTACAGTTACTTTTGGGAAAACACTGGCCATTGTTTACACAATTTGATCAGTTCCTAGATCAATCGAAGTACAAAGTGATTAATAAAGATCAGTGGTGCAACATTTTAGAATTTTCTCGTACAATCAATCATGATTTATCCAATTATGATTTAGATGGAGCATGTGTGTAATCACATAATATTATTAATATTTCTTGAATTACTTACATTTAGTTCACATATCTTTTTTTTACAGGGCCAGTAATGCTTGATGAATTCGTTGAATGGCTAAAAATACAGCGAGGTGAAGAAACATCTTCAACAGAAGCTAGAGGCAGCTGAAACATTCAATAATAATAGTCTACTAAAATAAAAGGAACTCATCTTTTCTGTCATCATATTTTGTTAATAACAAAATTTCTGTTTCTATCATAACCTCGCAACATTTCAGTTATCATCATTCGTACTACGTTTTTTTTTATTAATCAGTAATAATGTAAGTAGTCTATCTTAATATGATTTTACACTGTGTTCTAAACGGACTGTGGTTAGAAATTTTCTAGATCATTCTTAATTACTTATCACCATTCATTGCTAATCCAGGGTTTGTCGCAGAAACTCTTGTGATTAAAAATAAATCTATTTTGATATAAGATTTACTTGTGCAATTTATAAAATATAATTTCAAATATAAAATAGAAAAATTAAAGAAACTTTTATTACCGAATATTTTTATAAATATATATATATATAAATGTTACTAATATTTTAGGACAAAGATCAAAGAAGTATGGATATGGAAACAGCAAGTGATATGTTACAGTTACTTTTGGGAAAACACTGGCCATTGTTTACACAATTTGATCAGTTCCTAGATCAATCGAAGTACAAAGTGATTAATAAAGATCAGTGGTGCAACATTTTAGAATTTTCTCGTACAATCAATCATGATTTATCCAATTATGATTTAGATGGAGCATGTGTGTAATCACATAATATTATTAATATTTCTTGAATTACTTACATTTAGTTCACATATCTTTTTTTTACAGGGCCAGTAATGCTTGATGAATTCGTTGAATGGCTAAAAATACAGCGAGGTGAAGAAACATCTTCAACAGAAGCTAGAGGCAGCTGAAACATTCAATAATAATAGTCTACTAAAATAAAAGGAACTCATCTTTTCTGTCATCATATTTTGTTAATAACAAAATTTCTGTTTCTATCATAACCTCGCAACATTTCAGTTATCATCATTCGTACTACGTTTTTTTTTATTAATCAGTAATAATGTAAGTAGTCTATCTTAATATGATTTTACACTGTGTTCTAAACGGACTGTGGTTAGAAATTTTCTAGATCATTCTTAATTACTTATCACCATTCATTGCTAATCCAGGGTTTGTCGCAGAAACTCTTGTGATTAAAAATAAATCTATTTTGATATAAGATTTACTTGTGCAATTTATAAAATATAATTTCAAATATAAAATAGAAAAATTAAAGAAACTTTTATTACCGAATTAACAAAGTTTTGTATTAAAAAAAATAGCTTTTCTAATACAATATTGAGTTTCATTTTCATAAATTAATAAGCAATTAATAATAGATTTATAGTTTAAGCATTAATAAATAAAATAATTTTATGTTTTGATTTATTATAAATCAAATATAAAGTTACATATAAATTTATTGCTAAATATATACTCAAAATTCTTTGCAGTATTTAAATATATTTCATAAAAATGTTTACAAAATTTAGACTCATGTATAACTGTTACCACAAAATATTTAATAATCACGAATACTATCATGTAGATTCATAAATAAAATGACATGTATAGTATATAAGTGCTACTACAATGTTTAATATCGGAAATACAATAGACTACATTGGTACATATTACTTAGCCAACATAAAATAATTCCTATACAAACCATAAATATTGATGTACATTAGAATATTAAATTCCTTATTCAAACAGAGTAACATTTATGAAATATTGGAATTAAACTTTTTTCGAAATATTAGATTACGTAATACAACATTATTTTCATCATTAAATATAAATATTTCAAACAGAATTCTAACAATTTTTTGTCAGGATTAGATATGTATATTCTATTTAATAATTTTTTCAAACTTAAACAAAAAAGACGCAATAAGATATTTTAAAATTTTTATCATAAAAATTTTTGCGACGACTTAAATGGATTAATGTATGGTGATTATTCAAATAATTTGTATTATATATTTAGTTCAATCAATTACTAATTTTTATCGATTAGAGGAGTATTTGGACATACACTTCAATTTTTAATGTGATTTAACAAACAAATTTTGTCCAATAGTAGTAACATAGATAATTATTGCGATTATATTATAAATTAGTTCAATTATTACATCAGAATTGCTTAATTATGTGTATGTGTATATTTTTCCTGCATGTGCACTTCTATTACAAATAATCTTATAATTAGCGATATAATATAAAATTAAATTTCAAATTTCGCTCATAACTTCCAAATTAATAGTAATATTAATTCACAAATGAAAAGTATCTAATGGAAAATTATAAACCCATACATCATAATGAAAAAATTAGAAACAAAAATTAAAAATCATTGTATATCGCTGCAATACAACTGCGATGTGGAGAATGTAATGTAATAAAAAACGTAAAATAAATAAAATACTTTTTTCAATAATTGTAATTTCTTTACTCATATAATTATACTGCAATTTTCACATAAGAGTTTATTGAATTATATTTGTATTTCTTTGTACAAATATTTTAATGTATATAGTATATTTAATTATGAATATTTTCATCGAATTATTAACTACACGCTAGTTAGTGTGTTTAAAAATCGCGCCAATATTTACATGAATATATACGTGTACTTAAGTACTATATATGCAAATTTGCAAAATCTTTAACTTGTAGTTTATGTACAATATCAATGTATAGATTGTACCGCGTTTCTAAATGGAAAATATATTGTGATACAAACAGATATTGATTTCATATACATTTATACCGTTTAGTTCGAAATTTTATGGGAAAAATGCAGTAAATGAAATCCAATCAATATGGTTAGAATATAGGTAATATGATAATGCTTGTAATGAGTTCAAAATCTATTTTAATCCAACAGTGTTATTTTTATTCGATCGTGGGGCAAAGGTAGTTTAAAATAAACGAGCAACACTCTAGTAACGTCTGGGCGATTCTGTATCTTTTTTAACATGGTGTGGAAGCAATGTCAGCGTCAGTATTACTTTGGAGACTTTTAAAGGAAGAACCGGCAATCAAAATTTTTAGGCATATATTCGTAATACTTCGAAGAAATTTATTTTATACTTTTTAGTATAAGTTGCATTGCTGCATACGCGTAAGTATTATATTAATATTATTCGCAAATACTTAATACTATAATTGTATATTACTAAATTTTATTTATATAAAATTTATACGAGCATTACGTAAACAATGTAATCTAATTTATTTAATTTAATACTACAGATAATAAATTTGATGTATTATATAAAATAAATTTAATTTTAAAGTATTATATCAATAATATTTTTAGTTAAAATACGTTCCAAGATGACAAAAATAACAAATTCAAATGCATATGAATGGAAAGATAAGGGCAATGTGGAATTTAATAAAGGGAATTGGTCAGAAGCTTTAAGCTGTTATACAAATGCACTGAAACTTACAAATGAAGATAATTCTGAAAAAGCTATATATTATAAAAATCGTGCTGCTACATATTTAAAACAAAAGGAATATGACAAAGCAATTAAAGATTGTGATGAAGCTCTTAAAATATGTCCAAATGATCCAAAAGCATTATTTCGCAGATGTCAAGCATTAGAAGCATTAGAAAGATTTGAAGAAGCATATCGTGATGCAAGACATATTATTTCTACAGATCCTAATAATAAAGCAATTCAGTCTACTGCTGCAAGACTACATGAAATTGTACAGGAAAAATATAGACAAAATTCTTGTGTTAGTTCCAAGGTATGTTATATATTAAGTAAAACTTTTAAATAATTAAAATTATAAAAATATCTGTTTATGATATAATCCAACATGTAAATATGTTTTGTTATAGGTAGCGCAAATGATGGATATAGCTTTTGAAATGAAAGAAGATAATGAAAAACGAGAAACAGCAATGAATAATCTACTTGTTCTTGCTCGGGAAAGAGCAGGGGCAGAAATAATGTTTAATGATGAAATTGTTTCTAAAATAATTAAAATGCTCAAGCTTGAGAAACATGAGGAAATAATAATAATTGCTATTCGAATTATTGCAGAACTATGTAAAGATAATATTCAAAGAACTGAAAATATTTTAAAGCATATTGGTATACCCTGGTGTTTAGAAATAATTAATAGTAAACTTATAGAAAGAGTAAATGCTGCTCAATATTGCTTACAGGTTAGTAAGTGTAGTAAATATAACAAATTATTATTTTCAGTGTTAAAACATACTATAAGAACAAATCATAAAAAATTTAAAACTACATTTTGTAGACTTTACTGAACACGTATAGCGGAATGAATAACAAACCAGATTCAAAACCAAATAAAGAATTGTGCGATAAATACAAGAAAGAGATAGATACTATCTTATCTTGTTTATTGTATAGTGTAACAAGCAGAACAATTTCTGGATTAGCTAGAGATGCAATTATAGAACTTATTATGCGTAACATTCACTATACTGCATTAAACTGGGCTGAGCAATTAGTTGAATTTCGTGGTTTACAACGTTTAATGGAAGTAGCAAGTGAACTTGAAGAATATAAGTATGAATCTTCTATGAATATTACATCATCTACTAGGACTGTAACAAGTGTATGTTTGGCAAGAATTTATGAAAATATGTATTATGATGCAGCAAAAGAAAAATTTAGGAATGCTATTGATGAATATATTAAAAATAAATTACTTACACCAGATATGGAATCCAAGGTAAATAACACATTTTTGAAACTACAATAAAAAAATGCAACAGATTATTATCTTTAATAATTAATCTATATTGTGAAAAATATAAATACATAACTTATATTTTTATTTCATATGTTTTTTTTAAATAGATTCGTGTTGTAGTTGCAATAACAACTTTATTGCTTGGTCCATTGGATGTTGGAAATACAATAATTGCTAAAGAAGGTATTTTAGAAATGATACTTGTTATGGCAGGCACAGATGATGTATTGCAACAAAAGGTTGCTTGTGAATGTATTGTTGCTGCTGCGTCTAAAAAAGATAAAGCTACTGCAATTATTAATCAAGGCATAAATATATTAAAAAAATTGTATCAATCTAAAGATGATTCCATTAAAGTACGTGCTTTAGTAGGATTATGTAAATTAGGTAGTTCAGGTGGTACAGATGCTACAGTAAGACCATTTGCTGATGGGGCAACGAAAAGATTAGCTGAAGCTTGTAGAAAATTTTTAATTAATCCCAAAAAACAAAAGGATATGAGAAAATGGGCCGTAGAAGGATTATCGTATCTCACTTTTGATGCTGAAGTTAAAGAAAAACTAATTGAAGATGTTGAAGCAGTTCAAGCAATGATAGAACTTGCCAAAACTGAAGATCAGTCTGTAATTTATGGAGTTGTTACTACATTAGTGAATTTATGTAATGCTTATGATAAACAAGAACTTATACCAGAAATGATTGAATTAGCAAAATTTGCAAAACATCATATACCACAAGAACATGAATTTGATGATGTAGACTTTGTAAATAAAAGAATAATAGCATTAGTTAAAGCTGGTGTAACAAATGCATTAGTTGCACTTTCTAAAACAGAAAGCCAAAATAGCAAAGAACTAATAGCACGTGTATTTAATGCAGTTTGTAGTCAACCAGATGTAAGAGGAATTGTTGTTCAACAAGGTGGAGCAAAAGCACTTTTGCCATTAGCTTTAGATGGAACATGTAAGGGAAAAAAACAAGCTTCACAAGCTCTTGCACGATTAGGGATTACAATAAATCCAGAAGTTGCATTTCCTGGACAGAGAATAATGGAAGTAGTTCGACCATTTATAAATCTTTTAAATCCAGAATGTTCTGCACTTGAAAATTTTGAAGCTCTAATGGCCTTATGCAACTTAGCTGGTGTTAATGATAGTGTTAGAAAACGAATTTTAAAAGAAGGAGGTTTTCAAAAAATTGAAGTATATATGTATGAAGATCATGAAATGTTGAAACGTGCATCTACACAGGTTATGAATAATTTAATGATGTGTGAAGATACTATTAAATATTATGAACAAGAAAATGATAGAGTTAAGTATTTAGTCATTCTTTGCGAAGATGAAGATTTAGATACAAGCATGGCTGCAGCAGGAGCCTTAGCAATGTTAACATCAGTTAGTATAAAGTCTTGCATTAAGATATTTGATTCAAAAGATTGGTTAGAATCATTACGTTATTTACTTGCTAATCCAAATTCTGATTTACAACATAGAGGAATTGTAATTGTTTTAAATATGATAAAAAGTACAAAAGATGTTGCAGCCAGGGTCATTGAGACTGATGTAATGGAAATTTTAATGGCTCTAACAAAAAGTGATGCAGTGCAAAATAAAAAATTGAAAGAATTAGCAGATAAAGCATTAGAAGCTGCAGCAGAATGGCAACTTATTAAAAAAAATGAAAATGAACAACAATCATCACAAAGTACAAATAATCTGGAAAATGTTGAATAAATATGTGTAATATGTACTTCATTTAATTCTTCCTATAATATATATAGAACATTTGACAATGAATATTTATCACAATATCACAAAGTGCCTAAAAAAAAAGGTGTTCAATTTTATCTTTCATAGCAAATATCGCAATAAAACTATTGGATACTTAAATAATTTTTTAAAATATAACCAAATTATAAAAGTATTGCATTTATCAACAATCTAGTATTATAAGGTACTGTTACACAATATAACAAAATTATTTGTAAGAATCGAAATTATTTAATTTAACATAAATAATAATGTACTATATAGTTGTATACACTTATATGTATATGTAGAACTTGTCCAAAATAATATTAAATTGTAGTATTATTTAGTAATTTTATAATAATATTATAATATATGTTGTATACATTAGTTTACCAAAAATAGGTAAGAAACAGAAAAATTTTTAATGTAGAAATACACATTATAATTTTAAAAATGAATGATTTAGAGCTTGATCTGCAGTAAGACGTGTTTTGTAGTCTAAATCCAATAATCTTAGTAAAAGATGATAAGCTTCTTTTGGAAATTGAGCGTCCGATGATACCTTAAAATATTAAATAAATATATTTTAACATCGAATTTTTAATATATTAATTTATATATTATTCAAAAACAAAAATTATATTTTAATTTTTAATTATATTTATAAATAAAACAAATTAAAAAATACCTTCTCACATGTGTTATGATCTTTACTATTTAACAAACCCTTATTTCTTTTTTGTAATTTTTGACATAAAGATACAATATCAACCCCTGGTATATCTTCACTAAAGATAATTTTTTTCCCTGAATTATCAAAAAAATATTTGAAATATAAAAATTAAATAAAATTAAAATAAAATAGAAGAAAATAGAATAATTTGCAATAGGTATTGAACAAAAAGATTACTTTTTATACCTAATTTACGTGCACACTGTTGCATTTTATTTGATCCAAATACAGTTGTTATTTCTGCTAAAGCTGTACAGTCATCTGGTGAATGAAAAAATGGTTGAGTGCCACTAAGAATACATAACATCATTACTCCACTTGCCCAAATATCGATTGCAGGTGTTTGTGAAGGATGTTTCAGTAAAACTTCAGGAGCACGGAAACCTGGTGTACCAGCTCTTGGAGCTGTTTGTTCAGATCTAGATATACATAATGAACAAACCTTTGCTTTACCAAAACAATAACATTTTTCTTCTGTACCTTTCTTCCTTGCATTAAGAGAAAGATTTAAACTATTCTGCAAAAATATTAGAAACAATAATAACATATATTGCTTATAAGTATGCAAGTATTTTTTGTAATTGTATATAATTGATACTTTACTTCATCTGATTTTTTTCGTTTAACGGCTTGTGTTTCAGAATTACATAATTTAAGATTATTGGACTTCTTTTCTGCTATATATTCTTGTGCTAATCCAAAATCCACTAATAAATATCTATAAAAACATAAAAATTAATTAATACAAATTTATGTTATGTTATATTATGTTATTTTATGTTATGTCACTTTACCTCTTATTGCATCTATCATATAAAAAATTACTAGGTTTAACATCTCTATGTATAACATTAAATTTATGTACCCTTCGTAAAGCAGTCAGTAATGCTATCATATAATTTTTTGTTTCTTGAACAGTCATATTTTGTACATATTCCTATTTAATATTATTAAATTACTATTTTTGTTCTATATCATTAAATTCAAATTAATTGAAATATTAACAAAAAAAGTATTTTACCGAAAATTTATCATGTCTCATGTATGGCATTACAAATACTACTGTTTCAAAACTCCGTAAACATAATTCTAATCCAACTACATAATCCTTTCCTCTAAAAACGAAATTTTATTATAAAGAAATTAATTATATGTATTTATATGCATATTTATATTTAAGTTATAACTAAGTTTAAAATATGAGTTACCCTATTTGTTGCATACATTGTAATTCCCGTTCAATTTTTTCAGGATGCCTAGTAGGAACCAAATGTTTTAATGCAAATTTTTTAGAGCCATCAGACAATTTTAAAGTAGCTAAGAACACAGAACTGAAAGTTCCTTCTCCAACTTTTCCATGTATATGAAATAAATCTTTTATTAATGGAACTGTGTTTTTAATAATATCATTATTTTCTGAAATGATGTATTATTAATATTTATTTTTTTATTATAATTTACACTATATCATAGAAATTTTTACTTTTTTATAATTTATACAAGTTGTATAAATTAAATTTTTTACCGTCATCATTATCTTCCTCCATTTGAGCTTTTCCTTCCATGATTTCAATATATAATTTATTACACTTACTCGAATGATTAAATAACTATTTTAGAATTATTTAATTCAGTAAAGAATGAATTGTTATTATATGATAACCTATCAAATATTAAACACAAACGTCATTCTAAATATATAAAATATGAATACATTAGAGGCATTAAATTATAAAACAAAATTTAAGACTAACTAATAAATAATTTATCGATTTTTAACTTAATTCTCAATAAAAAATTTATATTTTTACCGCTATAATAAATATCAATTATAATATTACTTTTTAAACATTCAAATTTGTATGTTAAGTACATAAAAATGCAATAAGTATTTTAAATTTATGCACTTATTATATATAAGTTTATAAACTGTATAAATTTCCTAGAAAATATTTTTTACGATTAATATTATTGACTACATTTAAGCATTTAAGAATTCTCATACGCATGTATATGTTTACTTATAAAGTAAATTGTTATATTTATTGTCAAAACACTATCTACTTATATTTGTTATTTTAATATAATATTGTTATTTATGATCAATTAATAATAAATAGTATTAACATTATTGAAGTTACTCTTTAATTTGTAATTCAAGAAAAGCTTTCCAAGTTCTTGTAAGCATAGGTTAGAATAAGGTATATATTAATAGTATCATTTTATGTGTTATACATTATTAATGTTACTTTTTTTCTTTTATTTATATGTACATTAAGTGTTTTTTTATCATAATATAGGTTATATACTATTTCTTTTACATATAATTATACGATGTATATATTTATTTAATATATGGAAAAATTAACAAAATTTGATAATTCAAAATAATTAAAATACATGCTAATCTAGTTCTATTTTTTATAAAAAATAGGAAATACTGGAATAAACATGTTTAACATTAATACATCCAAATCATCAACATCAGTATTGGAAGCAAGTGAAAATAAAAACATAAGTGACGTGGATTTGGATAACATAGCTCTTTATTTCATTAGCACTCAACAAAGATTTAGAGAAAATATCATAATTCCAAGAACTGTGGGTCCTGTACAAAGTAAAACTAATGAAGAAAAATTAATAGAAAGTGCAATGGAAAGTTGCATTTTCAAAAGTATTGCAAGTTGCATTATAGGTACATTTGTACTGTATGATATAAGATAATTACTATTTGCATGAATATAACTAAATAAAAATTAGATTTATAGGGTATGGATTAGGAGCTGCAATAGGATTATTTTCATCTAGCGTGAATCCAAATGTAGCCACTGTTGAAAAACAGCAAACTGTCCGTGAAGTATTTAGAGAAATGAAAACTACCACATTAAGTTACGCAAAAAATTTTGCTGTACTTGGTTGTGTATTTACAGCAATTGAATGTACAATAGAGTCGGTAATAATTTCTTAATTTTAATATAAAATTGTAAATTTAATGTACATTTGTCTATATTATAGTATTATTTTACAATTTCATTTTAGTATAGAGGAAAAAGTGATTGGAAGAATGGTACATATGCTGGTGGTTTAACAGGTGGAATAATAGGACTAAGAGGTATTATTTTCTATTAAACTTGAATTTTAAAACATACTTATACTTAAACATGATTTTATGTTTTAGCTGGTATAAAAGCAGGTTTAATTGGAGCAGCAGGTTTTGCAGCATTTTCCACAGCAATAGACTATTATATGCATAAATCTTAAACAATGTCATAAAGTATAGTAGATATATATTTGTATAAAAAAAGGTATAAAACACGATCTAAGTATACCTGTACAATACATATAAAAGCGCAAAAATGTTCTTAATATAAAAATGCATACAGATAAGTACAATAGTTAAGAAATAAAATAAATTCACATAACACATCATTATTCATTTTACCTACATTCTTACATATCTTCATTCTTTAATGTAATGTATTACTTGAATTACATCATTCCTTTCTGAGACAAAAAGTATCAACTGAATTAAATGACTATTAGTATAGACTATAAAGAAAAAAAAAGATATTTTAATACAAAACTTTACATATTTCAGGATACATAAAGATATGTAAAGTTACATTTTATATTTAACACTGCTTATCACAGCAAAAAGTAAACTCTTTAGTTTTTGGATACACTGAATGAGTACTGACAGTTTAATATTGGCAGTCTTAAAAATTTGTTGTATAAAAAAATATACATAGAATGTTGGAAGATATGCAAATTGTATGATTTTGCCAATTTTTCTGTCAATTCTGTAAAATATTAAGTTTTGTAAAATGTTATTATATATATGCATTTATACAACTTATATAAATACAATTTTAGTATTGAATTCATACATTACTTTATCAAATTTTTTTACTTATTTTGAAATCAGATTTTTTTCTATAATATTTAAAAGATTCTGCATATTTTGTTACATTTCATATTTCAATAATATATGAGAATTTATCGAATATTAATTGTACTACATTCGTTATTTTAAAAAGTACAAATTTTTTAGAACAGCTTTATTTTATAAAATGGATTATATTATTTTTGATATTTGCGTTTTAATAATGAAATCTGTAAATTGTTCTATTAAAAGAGAATATGCAAGGCACTTATTACGCATTTCTATGTTGTATGATTATTATATTATAGTTTATAATTATTCTTCTGTATTTTTAATTTACTTTCCTTTTCAATTTTGTTAAAACACTGATTTTTATTTTTGATTTACTCATTAAAAACAAAAATATTAAATTAAAGACATGTGTTTTCTAATTATGTATGTCAAAAATAAACTCTTAAAAATGATAAATTTTTAAAAAGTGTATCTTGAATAACATTAATCATTTAATATAATTTTTTGGCACCCATAATGGTGAAGAATTTTTCTTCACGCATTTGTGCAGAAGTTTCATATAATTATGGTTGTTGCTGTTGCATTTGTGCCTGCATTACTGCCACTAATTCTTGCATTCGTCGTAACTCAGCTTCTTTTTCTTGCAAAATACGATCCTTCTCCGATACAGAATTACTTCTTTCAGATTCTGCAACTCTGTTAGTAAAAAAAGAATTAATTACAAAATATAGTTCAAATATATTTTAACATGTATTTTCATGCTTACGTTTGTCTTCGAGGTGGCACAGGAGCACCTTTTGCTAATCTTTCACTACGATAATTTTCATAATGTACCTCTTGAGTTACTTCTTGTAAATCTTGCATATGTGTGCTACAAATATATGAAAACAATATATAATAAAATTATTTTAAACCTTTAATATATTTTTTTCAATAAATACCACATACATTAACATTGTCCTTAGTTTTATAAAATCACAATGATCAGGGTTTTCAACTTCTACTACACCCCATGGATATAATCGTCCACGTACTTTTCGTCCCTTTACTTCTAATAAAGTATTTGCTCCACACACAGCAAATGGAACAGCTTCTTTTAGCTGTCGAACCTGTTCTTTGTAATCTTCATCTTCATCACTATCACAATCTGGTAATGGATAGATCTTTATACCACTACCTTCAATTTCTTCCATAACTCGTTTTTTTAAACGCAATACTTCTTTTTTTGTAAGTACATCAGCTTTTGCAATTACTGGCACAATATTAACTTTATTATGAAGTTGTTTCATAAATTCTATATCTAAAGGCTTTAATCTGGTAGATGTAAAAAGAATAAAAAGATATTATTTCAAACAAAAAGAAATTATTTTGATTATATTACAATAAGATAAAACTGTAATTAATATATCTTACCCATGACCAAATGGCGAGATGAAATAAAAACAACAGTGTATTCTATTATCTACTATATTTCTTCTATTTAAACCACTTTCATCACGTAAAAATCTTTCAAATTGATCATCTATATATTGTATAATAGCTCTAAAACTATCAGTATTATCAATTGCATCTCCATAACCAGGTGTGTCAACAACAGTCAATCTAAGTTTAACACCTCTTTCTTCAATTTCTACAGTTGATGCATCAAGTTTAACAGTTTGATTAGTTTTTTCTGTTCAAATAATATGAATATATTAATTATAATGTGTAACATTATAAATGTATAAATAAATATACAAAATTTAATTTACCTATAGCATCAGGAATTACACGCTCTGGATATAAATCAGTTAGAAACAAACTATTTACTAAGGTAGATTTTCCAAGACCAGATTCTCCAACAACCATAAGTGTAAATTCAAATCCCTTTTTCACTGATTTTCTATGCACTTGATTAGGTAAATTTGCAAATCCCACGTATCCTGGTGTTTCAAGACTAGCAAACTTGAAAGCAAGATAAAAATTATAGTTAATTAAAATTATACATTACGTTCATATCTTATGGAATTTAAAAAAATGTTGTAATATTCATTAAACAATATAAATATCTTTTTTCATAACAAAAAAGGAATATAAAGATATCTTATAAATTTACATTTTAATTGTACAATACTTACCGTTTTTACACTTTCACTGGACATTTTTTTATATTAATTCGACCTAACAGTAAGAAGTAATTAATATAATTGTGTAGTGTTTTTAAATGTTATCGAAAATAACCCGAAACTAAATTTCAAGCTAACAGTAGCCTTATTGTGACAGAAAACAAGATTACGATCATACTCGAACATATATCATGAATAAATTGAATAATAGGTTATTTAAATTTAAAATTCTCTGCTTTAATCGACATCACTTTCCTATTAACAGCATGCATTGAACAATGAACAAAATTATGTATAACAAAATTATACACTTTTATCCTAGATTCATTAGGTATGAAATAAAGATATTGTACCGACTCTACAGGGAACGTTACGGTATGACTGTATCGTGAAGCAGAAAGGGGGGGGGGGG